TTTGTAGCTCTTTTACGTGGGAAAATTTACCCCATTCTACCTCTCCCTTCCTCCTTCTCCCAGTGTATCCCTCTTTCTGACCCCTTAATTTTATTTTTTTAGCTATCATACCATCATAGTCAACTCACATCTATGTCCTCAGTATATGCACACATATATATACATATAAATATATATATATATATATACACACATATATATGCACACACACATTCCTTCTAACTGCTGTAATAATGATTAACTTCTTAAGAGTTAATGATACTTAAAAGTATCATCTTCCCCTGTAGGAATGTAAACAGTTTAACCTTATTAAGTCCCTTATGATTTCTCTTTCCTGTTTACCTTTTTATGCCTTTCTTGAGTCTTGCATTTGAAACTCAGATTTTTTATTCAGCCCTGGTCTTTTCATCAGGAATGCTTTAAAGTCCTCTATTTCAATTGAATGTCCATTTTTTCCCTTGAAGGATTATACTCAGTTTTGCTGGGTAGATGATTCTTTTGTATTCCTAGTTCTTTTGTTCCCCAGAACATCATATTCTAAGCCCTCTAATCCTTTAATGTAGAAGCTGCTAAATCTTAAGTTATCCTGACTGTGGCTCCATGGTATTTAAATTGTTTCTTTTTGGTTGCTTGCATATTTTCTCCTTGATCTGAGAGCTCTGGAATTTGGCAATAATATTCCTGGGAGTTTTCAATTTGGCATCTTTTTTCAGGAGGTGATTAGTGGATTATTACAATTTCTATTTTACCCCCGGGTTCTAGGATATCAGAGCAATTTTCCTTGATAATTTCATGAAATATGATGTCATCTTTTTTTTAATCATGGCTTTTAGGTAGTCCAGTAATTCTTAAAATTATATCACCTCGATCTATTTTCCAGATTAGTTGTTTTTCAATGAGATATTTCACTCTTTTTTTTCATTCTTTTGTTTTATTTTATTGTATTGTTTCTTGGGGTCTTATAGAGTCATTAGCTTTCACTTGCCCAGTTCTAATTTTTAAGGAATTTTTTTCCTTCAGTGAGTTTTTGTACCTCCTTTTCCATTTGGCCAATTCTACTTTTTAAGGGGTTCTTTTCTTTGGTGAATGTTTGTAACTCTTTTTCCATTTGGCAAATTCTGCTAACTAATTTATTTTGAATTATCAACAATCACTTCCATAATCTTTTGAGTTTTACATTTTTCTCCCCCTCCCTCCCTACCTCCCCAAGATATAGTGCTCCATCTGATATAGGCTATACATATATATTCCTATTAAACTTATTTTCACATTAAAGATGTTGTAGGTAAGAATTAGAACCAATAGGAGGAACCACCAGAAAGAGGAAACAAAACACAACAGCAGAAAAAAAATACCAAATAGTATGCTTTGATCTGCATTCAAACTCCACAGTTCGTTCTTCTTTGTGGAAAGCATTTTGCATCATGAGGTCTTTGGAGATTTCTTAGATCCTTGTATTGCTGCAAATTCTGCTTTTTAAGGAGTTTTCTCCAGTGCATTTTTGTACCTCTTTTGGTATTTGGCCTATTGTGTTTTTTAAGGTATTATTTTCTTCGAGTGTGTGTGTGCCTCCTTTACCAAGCTGTTTACCCTCTTTTCATGATTTTCTTGCACCACAATCATTTCTTTTCCCATTTTTTCCTCTACCTCTCTTATTTGATTTTGAAATCCTTTTTGAGCTCTTCCAGAAATTCTCTTTGGGGCTGAGACCAATTCACTTTTTCTTTGAGGCTTTGGGTGTAATGTCTATGACTGTGTTGTCTTCTTTTGAGTCTGTGTTTTGACCTTCCTTCTCACCATAGTAACAGGTTCTTTTTTTGTCATTTGCTCATTTTTTCCAGCCTATTTCATGACTTTTAACTTGATGTTAAAGTTGGACTCTGCTCCTTCAGGCTTTCTGTGTGGCTGTTTTCAGAGGTAGCTTTGGAGGTCTTTCAGTTTTTGGTTCTTCCAAGGTGGCATGATCTAAGGAGAGGTGTGGTCACTGCTCTCCTGGCTCGTGCTCTGATCTGTGAGTGACCACAAGCACTCTATGCTGCCCTGGAACTGTGACCAGGGTCCCTAATCCCCTAGAGCCACATGCTCTAGTGTGCTGGTGCTCCTCCCTGTTCTGGGACTGTGAGCAGGAATCACATATGGGCAATGAAACAGAGTCTCACATCCAGTTCTGGCACAGAGTACCCTGTAAACTTCTTCTGGCCAGTTGTCCAACTCCCTTACTGCCTGTGGGCTGAGAGCCCCAAAGCTGCTGCACTGATTCAGTCACCCCCAAGGCTTGCTGCTGGCTTGTTGGGGCTTGGCTGTGGTGGACTGCAGTCCACCCTCACCCCACTGAGACAGCCTTTTCCTGCCAACCTTTTAAGTTGTCTTGGACTGGAAAATTCTTTCACCCTGTCCTTCTGTTGGTTCTGCCACTCCAGAATTCATTCTGAGGCATTGTTTTAAAGTTGTTCAGAAGGGAATTTGGCAGAGCTCAGCTGAGTCCCTTCCTTTACTCAGCCACCTTGGCTCTGCCCTCCCAAAATCCTTTTTAAAAAGGTCCCAGAGCCCAGGTTAAGAACCCCCATGTTAGATGGACAGCCTCTAGGGCTTTTGCCTGAATATGTACATTTGTGGCAAACAATACAAATGGCCAAGGGGAGCCTAGCATTCTCTGGAGAAAAAAAGCCACCTGGATCATCTTCAGGAAATTGCAAAACTTCCCCTAAACAAAGGCCCACTTTTAAATACCGATAGCCTACTGTGGGGAGAGGCTATCTCTGAAGAATTAAAAATGAAGATCACACAGAAGGGCAAATGGTGAGTGTGGGTGGGCTGTTAACAAATAGCAGACTTAGAAGAACTACGGTAAAGGACACCATCAGGAACAAGTGTGAAATGAAAAAGGAGGTGGCTAGTCATGTGTAAGAAATGAGGGACAAGAAGACAAGCTGAAGGCTCTGTTGACACCCCACAGAAAGCCCCCAGCATGTCAGAGAACCCTCTGTGGCTAACTGATGGGAACACTTGGATTAGGGTCCCACAGACCAGGCAAGCGTGGATGATTATGAAGGCAGCTATAGATTGCAGAGCACAATGTTGGAGGTGGAGTCAGGAAGACCTGACTTCAGATCCTGCCTCATAGACCAATTGTGTGACCCTCTGTTTCCTCATCTGTAAAATGAGAATTATAAGAGCACTTACCTCCAGAGTTGTTGTGAGGATCAAATGAGATGTTTGTAAACCACTTTGCAAAGTAATGTATAAATGCTGGCAGTTATTTTAATATTTGAATAATGCAAAAACCCACTCCTATGCACCTTCATGGCATGAGGGTGATCTCGGGTTCTTAGAGTCTATGTGAAAGTAAGTTTTGGCTCTGGGCAGATTCCACTGAGAAAGGCCTTAAGTAAAGGCCCACTGGGGTTCTGCATATGTTGTGTGAGAGCCCTTTTCACTCTCAAAAGGTTGGCCATAGGACAATTCTGAGTCCTAACTCCTCATGAAGACTATCTGCTAAGGGGTGGTGGTAAGAAGGGGTTGAGATTTGTGTGGATGAGCCCCAATAGTGAAATAATAGATCCAGGATGGAGTGAAATAATTAAGACCAATGCCATCTTTGAGGTTCTTAATAATTTCATTACATTTATCCGTGGATGAATCCAGTGGATTTGTAGACTGCATTTGGGCAGATTTGACCGAAATATGGCAGTTACGACTATCATTCTCTTGGTCATTTTAAGTACTCCAATCCAGTCCCAGACTACTATTCCAAAATTCTTTCCCACTATTTACCTAGGAGAGGAAGCTGGTGACTCAGTGGATAGAGCACTGGGCCTGGAGTCAAGAAGACCTGAGTTCAAATCCAGTCTCAGATACTCCCTAGCTGTGTAGCCCTGGGCAAGTCACTTAACCTCTGAACAAAATGGCTCCATGGGATGGCCCGCCGGCGTGTTTGCCAAGAAAACTCCAAACGGAGCCGTGAAGGGTCAGACAGGACTGGAACGCCTGAACACAGCCACATGCACCTAGAAGAGACATTCTGTCCGGCCAGACCGGCTTGCTCAGTAACCTACACATCCTGGTGCGGGCGCTCCGCCCCGTGCAGACAGCGGACTTCGCTGCGGCTCGCAGCCTTACTTACTCCGCAAGCTGCACGAGCACTGAGAAGCTGAGTCACAGGCGGTGGGAAACGTTTATTAAGGGCCTGCTAACGTGCCCAGCACTGGGGACACGAATACAAAAAAGGAAAGACAGACCCTGCCCTCGAGAAGCCTACAGTCTAAGGGGGGAACGACCCACAAAAGAGAGCTGGCCGGCGGGGGAGGGGGTAGGAGAGCAGGAGAAGAGAGCTGATAACCTGGGAATGCAGCCTGGTCCCTCCTGAACGGGGGTGGGACTTCACCCTCCAACCAGAGGGGCAGAGGGGCGGGACAAGGCCGGGGACCCAGGGCTGATGGGCTCTTACAGGATGAGAAGCTGCCAAGTCCCAGACCAGGGTAGCCAGGTGGGCAATGCGGCATTAAACGGCTTGCCCATGGTCACAAAGGCAGGACTTGAACCCAGGTCTTCCCAACTCCAAGATGTCTTCCACCCACTGCACAATGCTCCCCCTCCCAAGCTCCATTTCAAACACATGTGAGTATTCACCAAGTACTTTGTGCACTGTGTCATTAGGTGCCTGAAGCCCCGGGGCTTTATTAGCTGAGTACTGTCCCCATTTCACTGATGAAGAAACTGACTGAGCCCATACAAATCACAGAGCCGGGCCTGGAAACCAGGAGTTCTGCCAGGCTCTCAGCCCTCTGCGCGTTCTTCCATTCAGCCGAGTTATCTTTAGGTGCTTTGCTTTCTCTCCCCTCAGTCTAGGGGCAGGAGACCCCTAAGTACTCCTCCCCGGCTGTGTCCAGGCCAGCGCCACTTCGTCCACGGCAGGGATTCAGTCCGTACGTCCCAACTAACTGCATCAGCACCCGGACAAACCTTTTAAAAACGAGTTGTTTCGGTGTCTTCTTCCGCAGCCTTTTGTCATCCATGACATGGAAACCCTGTGCATGGCGGAAAAGACACTAGTGGCCAAGCTGGTGGCCAACGGGATCCAGAACAAGGAGGCGGAGGTGCGGATATTCCACTGCTGCCAGTGTACCTCGGTAGAGACTGTCACGGAGCTGACGGAGTTTGCTAAATCGATCCCTGGCTTCTCGAGTCTAAACCTGAATGATCAGGTGACTTTGTTAAAGTACGGGGTCTATGAAGCCATATTCGCAATGCTGTCATCAGTGATGAACAAAGACGGCATGTTAGTGGCCTATGGAAACGGTTTCATAACCCGGGAGTTCCTGAAAAGTTTAAGAAAACCATTTTGTGACATCATGGAACCTAAATTTGATTTTGCAATGAAATTCAATGCCTTGGAACTGGATGACAGCGACATTTCCCTTTTTGTGGCTGCTATAATTTGCTGTGGAGGTAAGTAGTCTTAAAAGTTAGTCTGTGATGGGCTTAAAATCTTGGGAATGGTACAATGGAAAATATACCATTTTATTTTTTCTAAACCTTCCTTGGGAAATTGAAAAAGTTACACTTATTAACCATCAATAGACATTTCAATAAACACGATCAAAAAGTAAGATCACTTATAAACTGAATTGTTCACAAGGGTTTTGATTTTTTAACATTTAATATTAACCAAAAAAAAAGTTTAAGCCCGTTTGCCTCTGATCTCTTCTCATGGGTATGTTTTGTTACTATTTGGTTTTGTTTAGTTTGTGCAAACAGGGCTAAGTGACTTGCCCAGGGTCACCCTGCTAGGAAGGGTCCGAGGCCAGATTCGAACTCGGGGAGATGAGTCTTCCTGAATCGCTGTGCACTGTGGTGCCCCCCGAGCTGCCCCCAACAACAACCAAAGTCCGTGTTTTAGCTTAACTCTTGAATCTTACGGTTACATGGTAAAAGTCTCTGTATTTTTAGCTTGGTATTTTTCACATGAATCTTGATTTCCATGGCACAGCGACATTCCCATCTTGCCGTCTCACAACTTAATGAACGGCTTCAAACCCTACCGCCCCCTCGTGTAGTCTCCCTCGACTGGAACATAAGCTCCTGGAGGGCAGCCGGTCTGCTTTGCATGGTGCCTGCGCCTCTCTTTTTCCCCATTCATGCATGAGTACCCACAGTCCTTTCCCATCATTTTGCTATCACAAACACAGTGCTGTGAGCGTGTCGGTGTAGATGTACACCACACAGTCGTGGTAATGGGATCATCGGATCAAACTGTGCCAACGTGCCTGTTTCTTGGTTGCTCACCACCCAGCTAACTGAGCTGCTCTCTCCTTCCCAGTGTAATGGGTGCGATTTGGTTTGGTGAGTTTCTGACTTGCATCTGCCTGGTCAAAGTGGTCATCCAGACGGGCCCCGGGGATTTTCCCTGGAGACCACGTGTTTCCTTTCTCTTCCCATCTTCTTTCCTTGCAGAGTGAGGCTTCAGCGTTGTAAGAGAATGGTTTGGGACAAAGATTTCTCCCCCATATTTCTCTCCTCTCCTTCGACGTGGTACTTTCTGCTGCTAACCACAGTTAAAAGCTGACGTACCTTCGTGGTGTTCAATGGGAAGCTCTAATTCTGTGGGACATAAATGTGGGCCTCCCTGCCCTGCAGGGAGGTTGGCTTGCTCATCCGCCTTAAAATAGACCAACAGAGGCTGTCCCCAAAGGAACCCTGTAGAGAGGAACGGAGGAGGTCATTTCTGCCCTCACAGTTGGGCTGACCTTTCCGAGCCCCTCAGGAGATGAAGGAGCTGAGGATCCGTCCCATCACTCTTCCTTATGGGAGTCCCAAGCGGTAATGAATTCTCTCCTCCCTTGCCCCAGTTATTAGGACTGGTCCAGACACGGAGGCCCTTCCTGCTCCCCCCAAATCCACTGGGTACTTATTTTGTAAATACATCCTCTACATTCATTTATGTTTGCATTGTCTTAGAGTGTAAGCCCCTTGAGGGCAGGGGCTGTTTCATTTTTATCTTTGCATCTTCAACACTAAGCACTGTTTTTAAGCACTGAGGTGCACTGAATGATTATTTCCATGGCTATGGACTACAAAATACTGAATTAATGATGTACCTCACTTCTGTATACATAGCATAAACAATAATCTGCCAAAGTCCTGTGAAATGGGCCGGGCAAAGACTCAGTGGTTAAGAGATTTCCTAGGTGCCTCAACTGTGCCAGAGCAAGGGCTCTGTCCGCGGTCTCCTCATGCCAAATCAAGTTCCTTTTTGCTATGCTCCGTACAGACACGTTCCCCAGCCTTGGCCTAGCTTAGCTTTGCTCTCGGGTACTAGGAAGAGAGCCAGGTCTGGACCGGGTCACAGAGCGGGGTGTGAACCCCGTGGGTGATCCAGCACAGGGCAGTGGCTCCCAGAGCTTCACTCGCTTCTGCACATTCAGCCCACGATGACTGATTTTGTTCTTCCCTCTCGTCTCTTCCTCCTTTTTAAAAAAATTATTTTTCAATTTTATCGGATCAGCGGCTCCATAGATCAAGTTCTCAGTGCAGTAAAATTCATATTCTTCAGAGGAGAGGCTCTGCACAAACCTAATTATGAGCTGGTCCCACTTTAAAGATGTGAATCACTGAGATTTTGATTCAGGTTTTTTCTAATTCCACAAAGGGTTCCTGCCCTCACTGCCCTTCACTGCATGGAGCCCAGGTGGGCCTGGGGCTGCTCATTTGCTCGCTTACTCACTGGCTCTAATATTTGCCCTCTTTTTCTTTCTGAGACTAGATCGGCCCGGCCTCTTGAACGTGGGACACATCGAGAGAATGCAGGAGAGCATCGTGCACGTGCTTCAGCTTCACCTGCAAAACAACCACCCTGACGACGTCTTCCTTTTCCCCAAGCTGCTCCAGAAGATGGCGGACCTTCGGCAGCTGGTCACGGAGCACGCTCAGCTGGTGCAAGTCATCAAAAAGACTGAATCTGATGCCGCCCTGCATCCTTTGCTGCAAGAAATCTACAGGGATATGTATTGAGTTTTTTAGGTTTTTGTTTTTTTTTTTAAAGACAGAACTTTTTCCAGAATATTTAAAGCCAACAGAAATATTAATGATAGATGGGAGCAAAAAGACTTTGCACAAATGTCAGCTGTGTTTTAATCCTAGAACATGGAAATCAATCATGATCTAGACAGCTGGAATACCACATTTCTATTGGTTTTTGAAACAGTATTTCAGAGAGTTTGCTAAGTATCCAAAAGCTGATGATGAGAGGGTCTTGGATAGTTAGGGTAGGACTGGGAGATTCCGTCTGATTCTGTTAAGGCACATGATTTTGATCAATGCAGATTTATTTATATTATGTGATTTAGTATTTGGTTAATTGGTAACCTCATAATAAGGACTTTGTTCTGCTTATCACCTTTGGGTTCTCATGCTCATTCTATGCTAGTCTGAATAACAATGTAGCCTTCCTGATAAGGCCCTCAAGTCATCTTTGGGGGGGGGGATGGAAGGGAAGGGCAGGGCTGGGGTGCTCAATAAGCAGGGAAGGATTTCTTAGAAAGATTTCACTTCCATCAAAATTTCAATGAGGGTAATGGCACTTTTCTAACTAAGATCTCTTCCAAAGGCTTTTTTTTTTTTTTAAATTAGACAGTCAGAAATCCACGGGTTGGACTAGATACCCACATTTGCAGTTGTTGAGATCGTGCCAAGACAGCCGGTCTCCGATTTACGCAGTAAACTCCAGGTCAGTTCAGTGCTGGTCTGCAGAATCCAGAAGGACTTCGGTGCTTAACATCACAAATCCTGAACTGGCTTTTTGGGTTAGCAGGAGTGACATCTGAACCTTAGAATCTGCCTGTTAGGGCTAGAAAGGACCTAATTATCTCATCGGGCCTTCTTCATCTTACCGCTGACAAATAGAAACTGCTTGAGGGGAGGGGCTCTTCCAGCTCTGCCCCCCTGCCTCCCATCCAGGGCCATTCAGCCTTCCTCACGGATCAGGCCAACACACTACACTCCTCTTGTTCTTCACTCTCTTCTCACCTGGGCGTGCTGCCTGACTGCCCTGCACCCTCTCCTGGTCACATCTCTCCTCAACAATGCTTGTTTGGAGTGTGTTGCTTGTGCCAGTTCTTGTGACCCAGTCCTCCTCCTGCCCCACCTCTGGATCCATCAGTACAAACTGTTTCCTCCCCCAGAGATGAACCAGCGTGATTTGGACTCAACTGACCACGGCACATGCCTAGGGATTCATTCTTAACATCTATCCACCTTTTCCCTTCTTTTCCCTTGTCTGCATTTTGTCAAGGTGGCTTCTTTGGTCCTTTTTTCTACGACTTTTTAGCCTTTTTGGGTAACAGAAACTCCCTAGTGGAAAAAATGAAGCCGGTTGGCTTCAGGATGTTGGGTGACCTGGCCATCTTACCTTCACTAACAGAAATGACCTGGGGAAACGTGGAGATTCCCTATTCTTCAGAATAGACGGAGGCTTCTGCTTTACTCTCAGGGTTTAACAACATCTTGGTTATTTTTGGAGATACGTAGTGAGCCTGGTCTCCTTTTATTTGCCATGTCAAACTATTCCCAGGGTCGCTGTTTCCAACAGCCACAGAAATCTTGATCACAAGAATTAAACATCACTTTCCACATTTCCGTCCACTTCTCTACATTTGGGGTTATCAATCTGAAACACGTTGAATTGAGAATGCCTTCTCCTTACATGCCAGTTATAATAGAGAAACAGCCTCCAGAGCACCCCATCAGCACAAGCCCCTGCTACCAGAATACCGCATCCTCATCTCGGTCCTGCTAATTCAGACTCCCGGGGACCGGAGCACCGGACCCCACCGAGGTCTCGATGTTCTACGGCCAGTGACTCGGCTGGACCCCTGGCCCCATCGGTCATGTTAGATTCAGAACGTCAGCACCAGCAGAGCTTGCTCTGTCATTGACCCCTCCCCCACTTCGTGGTGGGGATGAGGTCGTGGCATGTCCTGTCTCGAGATTGTCAGGGATTCTGCTGAGGAGGAACCTTAATAATATGTTATGAGGAGAGGAATAAAATGGAAAGGAATTTCCAGCTTAGCTGGAATTAAGCCTAAGTTCACAGATCCAGGGCTGTGGGAGACCTCAGAGGTCTCCTAATCTAACACCCTCGTTCTACAGAGGAGGAAACTGAGAGCCCAGGGAGGCTGAGGGACTTCCTGAGGCCACACAGGCGGTAAGTGTCAGAGCGGGATTCACAACCAAGTCCTCTGGCCCCAGAACCAGCAAATCCCCTTTCTGGGACGTCGGGGCTGCCGACATCATTTTGTGGCAGATGCGCTGACTCACTCTCCACACACAGGCAGGGCAGCGGCTCACGTCCAGCAACACTACCAGAGCAGAGCCCCGCATTTTGACTCTGGAAGGCAGATTATTTCAGTTTGGCCAGGCTGACGGCACAGCTAACCTGAGCTGTCTCAGATGCCGGTCTCCCATGAAAGTGCAGGTGTGAACTCTAGATGTCTAGGCTAGACTCCTGAAGGGTGATTCTGGTGGCTCTGGTGGGGTCCCAGCAGGGCTGACCATCATCCCCTTGGTGCACTGAGGTTTGCAGCATCTCATCACCCATCAGTGACCATAAAACACTTGCTCCAAGTCTACATGAATTTAAGTCCTTCGGCCATGTGAGGCCAAGATTCTGACGAGCTCTTTTCTATGTGGTATCGTGCTCAGAGAGCACAGTACGGCCCCTCCAAACATGGACGAGCAAACTCCCTGGGACGGGAATGGACCTGCCTGAATCCCATAGCCAGTCTTCCCGACAGCCACGCCAGGGATCTCCATGTCCTGTTAGAATAGAAAATCTGGATAACCTAAGGGCTGCTCATGGAATTTTCCTCTACAATCTTGGACTAAGCAAGTTCAGTAAGCCCATTCCTCTGGTGGTCCCTGCACAGAAATGGGTCTTGGGGCTTCTGTCTCTGCTGCCAGTTTCCCCAGTCTGGGGTGGGTCACAACTGGCCACAGCCCCAATCCCTCTTCCATGCTGAGTGGACAGTGGGACAGCTCCCCTGTATCTAGGGGTCTGAGACCCAGCAAGGCCCCTCCCCACAGGATGCAAGGGAAGTCACTCCCCTCCAGTGCTCCCACCTGCGGGAGCCAGGCACCGGAATGGGGACCCCCTTCTCTGCAAGGCTGCAGGCTTGCTCTCATTCTGGGCCCGATGGTGAAGAGGTCTGAGAAGGACATGCACTCACACCATTGGGAATTGGGTATCTATTCAGAATGGAGAGTAAGACCAAAGCCAGATTCTTCCATCCTGTCTCCATCAGAGCTGGGCTTATATATGACTTAGTCATAAAACAAACCATGGCTTACTGTCCCTCTCCTGTTTAATGTTTCCTAGACCTTTATTACAAACCCCTGTGGGGGCAAAATTAACATCTCTTTGACCTGACAGAGTGTAGAGGGAGAGGACTGATTCTGAGCACCAAGGAGCACACCCCTCACACTCCCTATTTGAAGGGAGGCTTCATTTGTTTTTTAAGGGACAGAGTCCCAGGCCCTAAAAAAGAGTGTCTGAGGGCCATTTCCATTGGGCCAAACTCTCTTCCTCCAAAAGTCAGAATTTGATCAGTACATGGTAACCTTAGAAGAGAGAACCTTAGAACCTCATCGCTGGGACCACCATGGCTAATGCCCTTGAGCTGATATGGAGCAGAGGGGAGGCGACTTGCCTGGAGTCCAGGCCTTGGCCTCCAAGGATCCTTCAACTGTCCCTCATGGGCTCTGTCCCTGGTGCATAAGCACCAAGCACAACCTAACCTTTTCATGATTTCATCACAAGATCTCACACTCTTGCACAGTCCAACAGTGCCTCAGGAGATGCTTACAACTAGGCGGTGCTAACAACTACTGTATTCTGGGCACTGAAACTTGATTTTTTTTTTTTTAACAAGGCTGAGAGGTGTGGGTAGGTAGCCCACAGGCCTGTGGCTAAAACAGCCCCTCCTCCACAGGCCTGTGTACTCCTTGCTGCTCTGGAGCAGGGCACTCTGTCCTCTGATGCACTAACACTCTTCCCCTCCCCGAATCCATGAACCTCCCACTAGGCAGAACCCTGGGCCTGTCTGTCCCCAGGGAGATACCCCTGGAGAGTGGCCAAGCTAAAGCTGACCAAGCCAAGATCCCAAAATAAACCCAAGGAAAATGGTGAATGGCAAGTTGTCAGGAAAGCACCAGAGAAATGAGGGCAATGACAGATCTGGGCTACGCACTGCCATTGGTGATGGGCCCTCAGACAGGGATGGGAATGCAAAAGCTGTCCCTGCAGGCCCACACGCCTTCACTTTGGAACCCAGGTAGCCAGGGCCTGGAACTGTCCAGCCAAAAGTAGACACAATGCCTGAGAGTCTTCAAAGGCATATCTTCCCTACTTTCTATTGTCATCTACATACTTTCAGATTTACGTTTGTGTCAAACCCTGCTGCTCCCCATGGGCAGGGCAGCCTCTACTCCTTTGATGGCTGACTCCTCCAACTAACCCAGGAGCTGATGCTGACTCATTACTTTGTTTTTTTTCTTTTTTTGCAAAGTGCTTTTCTTATACGATTATATGAGGGGGGTAGATGTACTAATCTCCATTTTACAGATGGAAGCTAAGCCTGAGAGAGGCTGGCTGACCTGCGTGCGGTCACCTCAAGGCCTCTCAAACCTCCTTTCCTGTCAACTCCCAACGGGTCCTCAGCCCCAAGAAGGGAAAAAGCAAACTGGTCACTGTTGGCAGGGACCGCTGAACACTCACTGTTCTTGTTAACTCTCTCTCAGCAGCAGCAGGATGGTCTTTGGCTCCACTGCCCAAAGGCACCCTGGACAGGGGGCATCAGCTACCTGTGGACGTTGATTGTTCCCTTGGCAAGCTTCCACATTGACATGGTACAGGACCAAGAGCACAGACCTCGGTTCCAGGTCAGGTTCTACCATTTACTGTAAGCTATGTCATTTCTTTCTGAGCCTCAGTTTCCTCCTTTGTAAAACTGAGATGATGATACTGGGGTTGCCTGCCTCCCCGAAGGTCTGCAAGGGAAAGCCCTGTTAAGCACTGAGAGCCAGCTCTAAAGAGGAGGTCATGATGCCTCTCCACTGACCCAGGTGCAGACTAGGACAGAAACGGGGAAAAGAGCTCAGCACCATTGCTTCACCAGTCACAGGGCGAGCAAGAGGGCGCTGTTCTCCAGCAGTCACACCCTAAGCCCCCACTCAAAGGATCCATGCCCACCAAACAGCCTGGGTGATACACAGCAATGCCCAAGGAGCATGCTCTCCTCCTTCTGCACGTCCCCAGTCACGTGTCGCAGCCCTCGACAGAAAGGCACAGAGGAACAGGAAGGAAGCTGGCCACTGCCCTGGGTCCTCCCCTCTCAGCTGGCTGGCTGGAGGAGCCCTCCCTTTCAGCTCTAAAGATTTCATCCTACCAAAAACACTCTTCCAGCACCAAGAATTGATCCTTTCATTTGACCAAGTTTCCAGTGAGTTCCTTTTCAGAAACCGAAAGGCTGGTTTTTATTGAGCCATTCATCGCATAAAGCTTTGGGGCTGTCTCCTGATTATCCCAGAAGGGAGAGAATCCCCCTCGTAAAACACGTAACACAGGTCTGGTCTTGATCGGGCGACACCAACAAAGCCTGTCAGAAGATCGATGTGGGAGACACCACTTGCCAACCTTTTCCCAGGGCTCGGTGCCTCTGGCCCCCAGGGCTGTCAAGGGCAGGCTGGAAGCCTCCAGGAATGCTAGAAACATTAGCACCACAGTGCCTTGCTCAGAGTTTTGGGTTTGCTGGGATGTCATCAAAAACAATATTGGGAGTGTCTAGAACTCACTAGTGAGAAACGTCAAAGGAGCGCTGGATGGGCAGCAAAAGGCTGGGATTCTAGCCCTGCTCCATCCCCTGGGCACCCTGTGGGTCTCAGTCTTCCCCACCTGTTAACTGGGCAGCAATGTTCATCCTGCTCAGCTCACAGGACACTGTGAACAAAGACTTGTCTATACATCAAGTGCCAATGAAACATGCTCTCCATCCTGGAAGGTTGGGAGAGGTCTTGGACCAGGGATGCCTTGCAATGTCAGTTCAAAAATGTATGAGGAACGAAGTTTAGCATGATTTTTAAAAAATGTGTGGGGGAGGGCGAGTCCATGGAAAATATGCTACTAAGGTTGTTCCAGAAAGAGTCACGGTGGAAGCAACATTAAAGATCGCTCATCCAAGCTTATTTTATAGATGGGGAAACTGAGGCCAGGGAGGCCATGTGCCCAAGGTCACGTGGGTGAGACTCAAAGAAATAGGCCTCCTGACTCTAATCTGTTCTTCTTCCTGCCCTACGCTACCTTCACCATCCCAAGCAGATCTTTAGAGAACCTTGGCATCTCTCAGCACTGGGCAATCCCTGGACAATGCTTCCAGTGAGTGCAAACCCTAATTTGAGTGCCTTCAAAGCCCACGGTTAATCATCCCCCAACCGCAGCAGTTACATTCATAGGTTCATATCTGCCTGAAAGTGGAAGGCTATATTTGTCCCACTATGTGGAACGAAACCCAACCACCTCCAAAAAGATGTACCCCATCAGCCCTGGCTCAAAGACATATCATTTCTTTTTGATGCCCTAGCTGGGGCTCCTGTGAAAGGGTAAAGGGAGAGCCGCCCTACTCCCCATCCCCTCTGTGCCTTGAAAGACTAGGTGGTCCTATACCTAGAGGGCCAACAGATGCAGGGAACGCCAAACCTTGGCGACCCTCAGAAAAGACCTGGGGTCTCCAGGCCCTAGACCTCACTGCTCAGGTAAGGGCTGTTCCCCTCCCTTACCTACGCAAACCAACTGCTAGAGGGCTTGAGCCCAGTTTTGAAACACGTGGGGCAAGCTTCTACCGATGATTTCAAAGGTAATTCCTTTTTTTAAAATGGCAGCAGTGCCCAGTGCAGGGAAAACAGTGAGTGCTTTGGAGTGTCTGCATGAATGCATGCACTATAACTGAATGAATGACAAACAAATGAAGGCTTCACTTTGGCAACTGTCTCCTCTACTGCCCTTCAGGACTCCCTTCCAGGCTGATGCTCGGAGCCACTCCCTGTAATGGAAAATCCATCGCAGTGACAGCTGGAGGGGCACTGCCTTACCAGAGTAATCTTTGGATCACTCGACAAATCCCATAGTACAAAGGTATTTTAATCAACCAAAGTAACATCTGTGACCTACACGATAGGCTTTTAAATCCGTGTCTTCTGTAAATTCTTAAGGATGTCAGTAAGGTGCGTGGTTTTCTGGCAGATTAGAAATACAAAGTGGGTAGAATAAAACCAAGTTCTGGTCATTTAGATTTAAAAGCCATTCCATTTCTTTTTTAATTAAATCTTTTTTTCAATTAACAGGCATTTTATTTTCTCTTTTCATCTCCCTTTCTCCCCCACGGGGGAAAAAAAGGAAAAACAAAACCTTTGTAACAAACATGCAGTCCCGCATTGGGCAGGTCCACAAACGTTTGTCTCACTGTGCGTACAGATTCCATCCCCAGTCTGTCAGGACGCGGGCAGCCCGTTTCAACCATGGCCCTTCGGCGTCATGGCTGGCCGCTGCAACGACTCAAGGTCCTCAGTCTTTCACAGTTGCTCATCTTTACAGTGTTCTTACTGTGCACAGCATTCTCCTGGGTCTGTTCACTTCCCCCAGGTCACTTCCCAGGTTTCTCTGAAGCTATCTTTTTCATTTCTTGACGCACACAAGTAGTCTATTACATTCATACGCCATAATTTGTTCAGGCACTCCCCAACTGATGGCTTCTAACTCTCCTTTCTTTGATCTCTCTGAGGTATAAGCCAAGTAAGGATGTTACTGCTGGGTCGGAGAGTATGCATTTATGGTGACTTTTTAGGCACTGTTCTAAATTACTTTCCAGGATGGCTGGACCATTCTTTACCAATAGGGCATCATTGACCTGTTTTCTCACAGCCTCTCCAAAATTTGCCATTTTGCTCTTTTGTCAACTTTGCCAATCTTACGGATGTGAGGAAGAACCTTTAAGGTGCATTTCTCTAACTATTAGTGATCTGAAGGATTTCTTCACATGGCTATTGAAAACTCCTATTTCTTCCCTTGAGAACCGCCTGTTCATATCCATTTAGCCATCTGTCAATTGGGAATTTCCTCTTGCATCCTTCTAAATTTGAGTCATCTCCTTATACAGCTTGGAAATAAGACCTCCACTAGGGAACATTTCATTTCTACTTAGTTACCCAGAATTTATTTTCATCTTAGTCTGTCACATTAACTGAAGTGCCTGGCACATAGTAGGCACTTAATCAATGTTTACTGGCTGACTGACCAAGGCAAGACCTGCCCCACCCAATCACCAGTTTGTACAAACAACAATGCCTCATTGCACTAAATGCTGTTTGCCTATCAAAGGTAACCCAAACACATCTCCCACTGCTGCTGTTTTCATTATCCAGTATTCTCACCAAAGAAAGCTGTCATTGTGGAGGCTGGTTCACTTACATCTCTGTGCTCAGTCATTAAGAGGGAAGGCCACAGAACTGTGACTGCAGGCATGGCTCGCGCCATGCTGACAAACATAGGGTGTGCCTGCTGGTGTCGTGGTCCTTTCTTCTGCTGACTCATAAAAATGCCCATGTTTCTATTCGCTTCCACTAAGCCAGGGCCTCCAAGAGGGAGAGCCTCCCTGGACCCGGGCAGAAATTGCCAATTTAGAGAGTGTGGTATTCAATTCTGTCTCTTGGTGTTTGTGTTTATCTCAGAACTTCTTAGGTGCCTTAACTGCCCTGAAAACGTCACCAAGTTTGGTGAAGGCTGTTCATTCATAACACTACTAAACAGGGGGAGTTCACGGGGAGCAGCTACTGACGAACCTTCCTGTATAACCCACTAACTCAGGTGAATGTCTCTCGTGTTCTTGGACGACAGCAGGACAGGGACGGAACGGGACTGAAATGAAACGCTTGAGGACCTCAGGAAACAGGACAGCCCTGACTGCCAAGCTGCTGTTTGACACTTGGATAAGGGAGAAGGAAGAGGGAGGGAGGGAGAGATGGCCTTTTTCTATTCCCAGGGATGGAGCACGGGTGCCTCCTGTGGGGCAGGGTATAAGCAAGTCTAAAGCCATTTTCAATGTTTTATCATTTGTTATGAGCTTTCATTCACTAAGAAGGGACTGAACTGAGAGTATCCACTAATGATTTATAGCTTGACTTTATAGGAACTTATGTTCTTGGGATGTCATACTATAAGACTGATGAATGTAAAGAGCTAATTTCAAGGTACAGTTTGCCTTAAAAGGTTTTTAAAAGAATAAACTATTTTTAAAAGTCGATTGGTGGGTTATCGGTAATCTGCTGGAATGAGTTGATGGGATGAAAGGTTTCCCCTGGGTCACAGCAGCTGAGACTCTTCTTGTACTGCAGGCTTTCCTTGTTAACTACCACCTACTGGACAGAAATTGGATCAAAGCCTGGTTCTCTTTTCCCTGTAATCCTCAAAGTCCCCTTAACTCAGCAGCTGGCATAAGGCACTTGAGATTAGACTTAAATCCGGTCCCTTAAATCAGGCAAAACGTGTCATTCTCTTTCCTTCTAACTTTTAAAAACAGGGCCAGTTTAAAATAGGTCAGATCCACTCCCAGCACAAGCCTCTCCTCTCGGTAAGCCAAAAGACATCCAAGCCTCGAAGGCAGGGCCCTGCCCCTGCTGAGAGGCCCCTGTCAATGGGCCTGGCCCTGGCCTAGAGGAGGAAAAGATGGAATACAGTGACTGGAAAGGCTCTGGTACATTTCTGGTGTGCCCTCCCTAACATGCTGCTGACTTAAGATTGCTACTGGGCCTGAAAAAGCCCAGTGAACGAGTGAAAAGGGGAAAAACATGCAATAGTACATCATAGAAAATGGTGTCATGGGGACAGCCACCCTGGACAACTTCTATCCAACCACTGCTGAGAGGCAAAGGAGAGCCCCCATCATGGGTGTGAAGGGAAAAGAGTCTGGTTACAGGAGGCATGGGCCTAAGGCTGGTGAAGAAAGCCTGTGCTTGCCTCCCCTGCCAGAGGAAGGGGAGGGGGTGGGCCTCCGGCCAAAGGACTGGATCTCTCGCTCGCCTCTGCTTCACCCTTCTTCTCTCTCGGCCCTAGTGGACAGATGCCAAAGGCAAGGGCTGTCCTGGGCTCTCCTGCTCAGAGGGGCCTTGCTCAGTGGCACCATGCAGCACCTTTGGACCCATGATGGTGTGAGACTAGGCCAATCTATCTACCTCTGGGGCCCACTGCAATTTTTTTTGTTTTGGTGAGGCAGTCATGGTTAAGTGACTTGCCCAGGGTCACACAGCTAATAAGTGTCAAGTGTCTGAGGCTGAATTTGAACTCAGGTCTTCCTGACTCCAAGGCCAGAGCTCTATCCACTGTGCCACCTAGCTGCCCCTGGGGCCCACTGCAAAGAAGCCTCTGGCTTAGACTTACTCAGATCAGCTGAAGCCAGAATTCCTCTGATTTCCAGAGTTGGAAATAGTGACCACAGCAATGTGAGAGACATCCCGTAAGGGTGGCTTGGCCCCCTGGATACCTCCAGCGCCCTTCAGAAGCCACAATGATGGTCAATGGAAGGTCCCCTCAGGTCCTCTGCTCACAGGAACAAGATGGGAGAAAAGGGTCACGACAGCAAGGGGCAGCCAGGGCCTTGTTCTTGCCAGGACCCTACGATCAGGTCCTCGAGGCAAGCTTCCTAGAGCCAGTTTTGGACAGAGCATGTCTCTTCTCCACATCTTGCCGTATCTCCTGAGGGAAAGCACTGAGATTCTCACGAACACAAGGGAGGCAAAACCTCTTCGAGTAGAATAAACTACACTCCTGAAACAGGAGAGAAAGGTGAGACTGTCACTGACCTCTTCAAGTGCTAGCTGTTTTAAAGTCATTACCCCATAAAGCACTGCAGGGGCAGCTGGCTTGGCCTGGCAGGCCAGCCTGGCTCCTCTCCCTTTCCCCCCTCACCCTGCACTTCTACCCACCCCCATCCTTTCACAGAGCAGCACAGCCCCCTCCCCCATTGCCCCACAGCTCTATCCCTCTCCCAGGCCCCATCTCCCCTTTCTCTGGGACAGAGGCCAAGACCAAGCAGAAACTGCAGGAGACCCAGGAGAACCAGAAATGGGCTAATGAGCCAAAGGAATATGTGCTGCTGTCCCGCTGATGCTGCTACACCGATCCTGCAAGGCCTTGCCCTCCCCTTTACCCCCAGACAGGCCCAGGCTGAAGCAGCAAAGGCCTGTGACCTATCTATAAGTATGAGGACATCAGCCTGCCTCAGTTTCCTCCAAAGGGCACGAGAGATCTCCAGCTACAAGGGACCTTGGTGCCAATGAGCCCAAGACACAGAGGCAGCATTTGAACCCAGGCCCTGTGACTCTCTAGTCAGCACTCTCCTGCACTGCCATCCCAACTCCCGGCTTCCTAGGATTCTGAGCTGGAGGGCAGGACCTTCGAGGTCAGTGACCCCGGGGTACTTCCCCCTGCTTGTGTTTTGCAGCCCTTGGTGGTCAGTGTGGCGAAGCCTAGGGAGTCATCCTCAGTATCATGTTTTCAATTAAGGAAATGCTCGATGTCGGTTAGAGGGGAATGAAAACAAAGACAGAACTTTCCTCGTCCAATGTCATGGATTCCTTGAAATCTATCCACAGACCACCCAGGGCCTCAGGTTAAGAACTTCTGATCAAATCCAACCCCATTCTACAGATGAGGAAACTGAGGCCCAGAAAGGTCAGTGACTTGTCCAAAGCCCCACAGATGAGCAGCAGAGCTTGGGTCCTCTGGCTCCAAACTCCACACTCCACAATTCTGACATGACAAACTGACACACATCCTGAGGGTGACCTGAGTAGCGAAAGGACTGAAAACATCACACAAGCAGCGAGTGAGGACACAGGTCAGACAGAGGCCTGGAGCCAACGTCAAAGGTGGCGCCTCTGACCATTGGGAAGAACGAAATGGGCTGCCTGGGGAGGGAGTGAGCTCCTCAGCCCCAACAGTCTCCAAGCGGACACCGGACAAGTCCTGGCCGCAGGCGAGCCAGTCAGTCTGCCAGCCCCTGCCCAGATCCCTGGCTGGCAGGCTCTGCCCTTTTCTCTGTTCCCTCGCCACTCTCCGCCCCACCCCAGGAAGGGCAAAGGGAAGCCAAACAGAAGAAGTCTGCATGCCCTTGTACCCCGATTAACAAAGAGGCATCTTCCATGGCCCCGGGACAGCTCCATGCCCAATCCCAGCATCTGATGGTCCAGGTGAGTGTCAGGAGGGTTTTTTCCCCATTAGCTGATACTAAAGGCCTTTTCCCCTGGGTGTATCCCTTCCCAAAGCTCCATGAGAGAGAGGAGGAGAGCTGAGCATCCTTCCCAGCACACCCCAAAGGGCCCCCCGTGACGCCCCAGGGGCTCCCCTGCCATCCCCCCGGCTGGCACCTTCCCGGCACTCAAGTCTCCACCTGAAAACCCCCTGAAATCTAAAGGGAACCTGCTCCCTTCCCTGGCTCTTCCCACAGTCGATCTTTGGGGATCCCGCAAATGTGAAGATTGCGACCGTGTACCCCTAGGCCCCGCCACCTCTGAGCTGTGGCATCCAGTACTTCAACCCCGTTTTGTATGGCTTAGTCTTAAGTCCCCTCGTGGCTCTCACGGCATCCTTTGTGTGGGAGGGCTGGTCCAGAAAAAGTGAAGAGTGTCTCCTCAAATGGGGCACTCAGAACTGCCAGGGTGATGTGACCGCAGCAGAGGGCAGCAGTCCCGTCGCAGCCTCTGTCCTGCCCAGTAGGTCTTTCTCAGTGGACCTAGGAGAACACTGACTTTGTTGCCTGCCCAATCGCACTGCTGACCCAGATGGAGCTTGCAGTCCACTCTGACTCCCAGATCTGTTTCTAGAAGCACGCTCAGATTGCACCCACGCGTAGTCCTAGACACAGTCTAGGTCGTGGTCCCCTGACACGGTTCAGTGCCCAGTTCTATCCTGTGGTGATGGCTCCGGACCCTGACTGTGACTGAGCATGCTCTGAACCTCTGCTGCCAGCTCTGTCTCATTGGCCAATCTGACAGGCATCGCTCCCTCCTGTGCCTTCAGCCCAGTCACTGGTGAAGACGCTGCCCATCCCGGGCCCAGGGCAGGTCCCAGAGGTGCATCCAGCCTAGGCCACCCAATCAGAATCCGGGTGCCTGCTGTCTCCAGGTGCCCAGGGCACTCCCCTTCCTGCCTCAATGGGTCTGGGGCCTGGCTCACAGTTCTGTCCTTCCCAATGCCCGCTATGTACTATGGACTTCAGCATCCATGCTGACACCCAATCCTCCAGCCCACCTCGGCCACACATAAGGACCGTGCCAGTCACAAGTGTTCCACGTCCACATTCATTCCCTTTCCAGCCCCAATCTATTGCCATTCCCTGGCTCCCTCTGCCTCACAAGCCCACACCATGTTCTGCGATCTCACCACAACCTACGCCTCCTTGAGCCATCACACCTGTGCACTGTCCTTTCCCTATTCACGTGGGGAGCCAGCTCAATTCTGTGTCGTCTGCTTCTGCTGAGCCCCTCGTCCCCTTGTCATACCGCTGATTATGCCCGGCTAAGCCTTGGACCTCTGACACGGTCCTCTGCCTTCACCCTACGAACGTGCGGCTGAAGGACGGTGGAGAAAATCAGGACACCATGCTGCCTGCACCCGCTGCACACCTTGGTCCCACAGCCTCTCCCTGGGCCCCCACAGCTGGAGGCAATCCTTCCACCCTCTCTCAACCTGTCCCTGCCCACAGGGGCTCATCCACACCTTCTCATCCCTCCTCAAGCCTTCCCCAGATCCTCCTCCTCCTTCTCCCTCAGCTGAGAACTTTGCCTCCTGTTTTACAGAAAAAGGAGCTGCCTCATCTAACGTCACTCCCATCCCTCTGCCCCCAGCTCCTCCATGAAGAGGTGGCCTTCCTCCTTGCCACCCTGTCCAAGGGATCCCCTCCCTCACTAATCTTCAATCTCTCCCACTCCACGGGCTCCTGCAAACATGCCCGTGTCTCCCTCCTCCTCAGGAGGACCACCCATGACTGGCACCCCCATTTTTCTTCCTTTCCCCATTCTCAGCTCTGTGCAGTCCGGCTTCCTGTCTCGTTGTTCAACTAAAACCATCCAAAGTCTCCTAAGAGCTCTCCGTGGCCAAAGTGAACAGCCTGTCCCCATCCTCGTCTCTCTCTGACCCTGCAGGCTACAACTCGGCCCATTGTCCTCTTCCCTGGGTTTCTTGATGCTATCCTTCTCTGGTTCTCTCACCTGTCTGTTCCTTCTCCAGCTCCCTGGCGGCTGCCATGCCCGCGTCACAGCTCAGGTATTCCCCAGGGCACGCTCCTGGGCCTGCTTCACGCGATGACCTCAGCAGCTCCCAAGGACTGCATGGTCACAGTCACTACGCTGCTCACCCAGCAGCCCTCACCACTCTCCGGTCCTCTGGTCTCGTATCTCAAACTGCATATGCAGTGGGCACCTTACACTCAACAAGGCCCTACGCAACTCCTTCTCTTCTCCCCCAAATCCTGTCCCAGCCTCCCAGGCCTCTGGACTCACAACCCAGGGGTCACCCTCACCCCTCATATCCAATCTACTGCCAAGTCCCCTGGATTTTACCTTCACAACATCCCAAATCCACGTAACCCGCTTCTTTAGGGGGGAAAGCAGAACAAAACGTGCCCTTTTCCAGGCCTGTGGCACCTCTCCAGTTCTCCATGATTATTACAGTGGCCAGGGGACCAACCCCTCCCATTAACCCCCTGAATCAGGGATCTTAACCACGGCCCCACGGTCACTGGTTGCACCACCCCCAAATGATCCCCTGAATTAGGGGCCTTGACCATGGCCCCACAGTCACTGGTTATACCACCCCCCACTGATCCCCTGAATCAGGGGCCTTGACCACGGCCCCACGGCTACTGGTTGTACCACCCCCCATTGATCCCCTGAATCAGAGGCCTTGACCACGGCCCCACGGGCACTGGTTGTACCAACCCCCATTGGCTCCCTGAATCAGGGACCTTGACCACGGCCCCACGGGCACTGGTTGTACCACCCACCATTGACCCCCTGAATCAGAGGCCTTGACCATGGCCCCACGGTCACTGGTGGCACCACCCCGGAGTCGCTCACTATTGTAGCCTCATCCGCCCTGTGCAATGGGCCTGTCCTATCTCTGGTCTCCTCTCACACTTTAATCCCTTCCCCAAGTCCTTCTGGTTGCTCTCCAAGCACTCAGCTCACCCTGCCCCTCTTTGCTGAATTCTCCTTACTTGGCCTCCCACTTTCTGAGTAGTTGTGCTGTGGTGAGAGTCGGCTCCCCGTTGTGCTCACTGCATCTTTCTGGATTACAGGACCCTACCCTCTCTCTCTCATAGCATCTTCTGGTCACAGTGTGGGTGGGCACTTAACCACGCCCACAGTGCCCTTCCTCTTTCTCCCACATTCTAGGATAGGGGGCTCATCCCCAACCCCAGCTTCCCAATCTTATCACTTGAGCAGTCAGCTACCTCGTGTTGGGCTAAATCAGGCCCAGTAGGGCATGTCTCCTCGTTAACTCCTTCACCTTGAAGGCCCAGGTCAGATGGCTTATATTTCCTCTGGCTACCTCCTAGCACTAGCTCAAATACCTGGGAAGGCATAAAGAAGTATGTGATGACAGACAGACAGATTGACCGAGAGTCTATGCTTCTCCCCTGGCCCAGCTGGGCTCCTTGGTCAGTGGAGAAGGAGTCAAGCCCTGGGGAGGCAGGCTTCTCAGTCCAATTTAAGAAATGCGTGCTAAGTGCCTACTGTGCACAGAGCCCTGGGCTCACCCCGGGGGGAGGCAATGCCTAGCCAGGCTCCCTTCACATTCTCACAAAGCATCCACATCTGGAAGGGAGAGGAGACAAAGTCAATCACTAAAGCAGACAACTCCACAGAGGAAGGCCAAAGTGGAGAGGGTCAGGGAAGAGCATTTTAAAAGAAGGGTTGGGGATGTGACCAGGCCCAGGGCTGGCAGGCCCTGCGTGGGAGCAAAGGACAAGGGCATGAAGGAAAGTCAATGAGAAAGACAGGACAGGAGGGCAGTGCCAGCCTGCCGAGGGCTCCGAATGCTGAGCAAAAGACTCAGAATCTCGGTTAGTGGGAGAGGGAAGCTGGGTGAACTCAGAACGTGGCCAGGTCTGTACATGAAAAGGATCAGTTTGCCAAGGGTCCAAGAAGTGGACTGGAGCAGAGGAAGAGTGAAGGGGGAAAGAGGACCATGCAGAAGTAGCCATGGGGCTTTGGAAGCCCACACCAGAAGGGCGTCCTGGGTTCAAAGTCTCGCTGCCCCCAGCGAGAGGCAGTCGGAGCGCCTGGCTTCCAATCCAGCGACCTGACAAGCCAGCCATCCTCCCCCCTGTAAAAGGAGGGGAGGGGCAGCCTACAGGGGACCACTAAGGCCCTCTGAAGTCTGAAGGGGAGCAGGGTCCGAGGGACAGCTCCCCTAGGCAGAGGGACAGACAGGTCAGGGGCTCCCAGAGAGTCATCTGCAGTGGTGGCCGTGAGTGTGGGCTGAGGGAGGAGAAGGGGCCTGGGGACACCCAGTGTCAGGAACTGGCACCAGGGAAGGAAGTGGAGAAGGGGCAGCCAGAGATGGGTCAGGCAGGACAAGCCCCCCTCAGGCTGAGCCCACAGATAAGGAGGCTGCTTCTGGCAAGGGGGCCCTAAAGACACTTTCCCAGGGGAGCTGGGGCAAAAGCCAAAAGACAGCAAGGAGCTAAGGAGACGGCTGGCAAGGTGGAAGCACGGGGCCAAGGCGACTTTCCAAAAGCATTGCGGTGAGAGGCAGGAAGCCCCAGGCCTGGACCGGGCGAGCCAGAGGCACTGGTAGAGAGAGATGGACAGCCGCCGGGAAGGAGCGGCCGGCAGGGGGTCAGCGGCAGAGGGCCCTCCTCCGGGACAGAAAGGTTTCTCTTCGTCCTCCCTCCCACACCCAGGCCCGGCATCCAGGAGCCATCATCAGAGGCTCTCAGCTTACCCGCCTCCCTCCCACTGGTCGACCCTCTCCCTGCAGCATATACATGCCTGCTCGCCTGGCCACGTAATCCCACCATGGGAGCCGATGGTGGGGAGGGACCCCCAAAGGCTGCCGAGCACAAGCCAACGGCCAGGGCTGGGCCGTTCTCATCCTTTACGTCCACAGTCTCCCCTGGTTTTGAACCAGGAAGTCGTCAGCCAGGCTGGAGGGCAGCCTAGCCCCAAGCCTTCTGACCCGGGAGCTATACCTCACTTGTGTCTACTTTCCCTGATTTCTGGAGTCATCCTAAGTGGCTCTAATAGAGAAGACCTGGTGATGAGACTGGACAGACTGGGAACTGGGATCAAGAGCTGGGTTCAAATCCTGCCAGACTCTCAATAGCTTTGTGGCCTGACGTCACCAGGCAGCAAATTCAGAAATGCCTCCCACACCGCACAGGGTCGCCTCCTCCCTGGAAACGTCCAAACCAATCCAATACGCATAGATTGCTGACACACACACAGCCATTCTCATTTTCTACAAGGTTCTCCAGGGCCTGCCATAGCAAACAAATGATGCTTCCATGATGCCACAAACGGTCCACGCTTCTCCCCTGTCTCCAACTGGGCCCCTCAAAGTGACCCTCTGAACCCCTCATTCTGAGGGCTGAACGGGCTGGGAAGGCCTTTGTGCGCCCCAGAAACATGAGTTTCCGCTCTTATCATTTGCGCCAGCTTCCTTCCACCCACCCTCAGTGGGGGCAGGGGATGCCAGGGGGCAGCTCACTTCCAAACCTGGTTTACCACCAAGCGCTTTGCTATTTGGTCAGCACCTAGGAAAGCAGACAGGAGGGAGGAGTTCCAAGACAGACAGACAGACCCTCCGCACCCACAAGGTTTTTGACAAATCACTGCCGGGGGGGGGGAGGTCTGGTGCTCTTCCTGCCTCCAGGTCTTCTTGGGCCCTGGCGCTCCTCCTCGGTGACCCACAAGGCCCCTGCAAGGTTCTTTCTCATTTGCAAGCCTCATACATCTCCATTAAGTTGCCCCTGTTGAGCTCAAGACTCCCAATCACATCGCGCCCTGGCCCTGTGCCTGCCCTGACAAATCCAGACTCACCGGTGGCCTTCCCCCTGTCCTGCGGCCTTTAGGGGGAAGGGCAATTCCCATTAGGGAAGCTGTGCCTGTTCTCCTCCCTCCCCCGAGAGGGACTGGGCCCCCAGGGAAGGGGAGGGCCCCCACCAAGCCCCCGTGGTGTGCTGCTCACTGGGCCCATGGCTCTCCCTCCCCAGCCCCAGTGACACACTGCTCACCGGGCCGAGGACTCCCCCTGCCCCCCAAGTCCCTGGTCACATGCTACTCACCGGGCCCACGCACACCAGCTTGCTGCAGAGGCTACACTGGGAACCAAGGATCAGGAATTTGTCTTTGTCTGAGCTGAAGGGGTCCTTCAACACGTAGCATTCCTCCAGGAGTCTGCAAGGGGAGAATCCAGGGCAGTGACCACCTGGCCTGGGGCTCCCAGAGGCTAAGACTTCCTCTAACAGACCCCCAAGGACTCATCAAGGCACAGTGACCAATACAGACTTCTCATCCAAGTGCAATCAAGGAGGTCAAGGTCAGACTAGAGCTAGTCCAGCCCCTTGCTGAGGAATGATGAGGAAACCGAGGCCCAGACCAGCAAAGGGACCGGCCCAAAGTCAAGCAGGAAGGGAGCGGAGGAAGGATTCAAACTCAGAGCCTCCACCTCCCGTCCCACTGCTCTACCATGCCCACTTCAAGAAGGAGGGGTGCCTTCAAGCCCCAGAGCAAGAAGGGAACAGGACGAGGTGGAGAGGGCCGCTCAGCCAGCCTCAGGCCCTCCCAGGGGCCCTTTCCCTGTGGACCAGCTCTCCCTGGGCTCCTTTTCACGCTGCACCCCCACACGCCTTCCCCAGCTCCTTGCTCCCCTTGGCTTTGCACCCCCCACCAAGCACAGCTCCTAATGCCACGCGCTCAACAGCAAAATTGGGCTAAAAATGTTTGCCCTGCCGAATTCACAGGAGATCCAGGGGAGCGCGCTTTGCAAGACAGAAGCTGCAATGTGCCCAAGTGTGATGCCCCCACCGAGGCTTTACAAAGCACCCCTCCCACGGTGGCTCACTGCCCCCTCACCACAGCCCTGTGCATCGGGCTGGGCGGTTACACTTAGCCCCATTTTACAGATGGTTCGCCCAAGGTCACACAGCCAGTAAGTGGCAGAACCAGAAGCGACGGTTAGCATTGCCTCCAGATCCAGGGTCTGCCCCACTCCACTGGGGTCTCTGAAGCAAACCACAGAACGGCAGAGAGCGGCCCAGCCGTTCACAGGTGAGGGCTGCACTCAGGCCTCAGCTGCCCTTGTCCCTCCCTCCCCAGGCAGAACAACGGACACAATGTATACAGTGACACCCCCCCCCCAGAAATGAACCATTCCGACAGACTTTTACCAGCGCTGGCCGTCACAAGGCCGAACCTGCCGGCAGAAGCCTTGGCACAGAGGAGCTGCCCATCTCGGACACAGCCAAGCCCTATGGGGCGGGGCCAAGGGGGGATTTGGTTTGTCTGATTCTGCTTCTGGTCTCCAGGCTTTGGTATTTTTCCCCCAGTGGGGGAGGGTGAATGTGGGAGGCAGAAAAAAAATCAATGCTTGAAAATTGGGGGAGTTTTGAAAAAGTGGGCAGAACTCACACCTGTGTCCCAGCAGCAAGACTGCCGCGGTCCCCACTCCCTCTCAGGGGCAGTGGGCACTGTTTGCCCTGTGAACTAAACCTCCAGAGGCCTCCTTCCAAAAGGCCGGGCCACGGCTGTTATGCTGCCCAGGCAAGAGAAGGCTTTCCTGAGGGACATGAGCTAAAATGCAGCTGGTCCAAGTGGGGTGAGCACATCCTTCCACTGACAGCAAACAGCATGTGGCTCTGCGGGGAGGGCTGGCCCTGGGTGTGCCCTCAGACCATGGGGGGCTCCCCCCAGGGAGTACTGGGAAAGGCCTCTGCCAAGCTTCAAGTACCACCAAAACGCCAGCTCCCTAAGACCACAAGGTGCTCTGTGCACCTTAGCTTATTTGCTCCTCACCAGTCCCGAGGGAGGCTCGCCCCCCATCTCACAGATGAGGAAACTGAGGGACAGAGAGGGAAAGGGGGCACAGAGAATGGATGTCTGGCCTCCCCAGCCCAAGGTCACACACCTAGTACATGGTGCTGCTAGAATATAATCCCAGCCCTCCTGATCTCCAACTACCAACTCAAAGGAAAACTCTGACTCATATTCTCCATCCTCCCCCCATGAGCAAGAGAGCGCAGAGGCTGGCCTCATTGTACCCGACAGCAAGTTCAAGGTCCTGGGTCAGGTCACACAGCCAAGTTCACAAAATCAGCATTGGAACAAACTGAGTTTGTAACAAGCCTTTTTCCACTTGTCACCAGTTTAAGCGACAAGAGGAAAATGGATTTGGTCTCCAGCTCCGAGGCAAGGTCTCCTGTTCAGGACACGCCAGGGGTTAGCCTCAGCAGAAGCCCCTCGAGCCACAGCCAGCGCTGTCCTCAGCAGGGGAAGGGGCCCAGGGGATGCTCCCCTGCTGAAGGAGGCCCCAGCTCTGCATGGATAGGTTTGGTACGGCTCAGGCCACCAACCCAAAATAAAGTGAGGCCCATAAATTTCTTCTGACAGGTCCCACTGCTTCTCAGTCTTGTTTGATATTTCATCCTGTGACCGGAGCACATCGTGGGATGACTTTCAGCACAGTTGTTTGCAGCCAGCATGGCAATCTGGGCTAACAGGACCCAGACCAGGGAAAAGCAAGGACACACAGGCCATTTCTCACTTGTCAAAGCCCTGTGGAAGGAAGTACCCCAGGGATGAGGTTTCCAAGTTCACGGCCTCAGCTCTCAAGGGCAGGGTATCCCTGCAGAATCATTCCAGCTCCGAACAAGGCACAAAGTCACAACATCCCTGAACTGAAAGTACTCTTGTTCAGGGGGCTGCCCAATACACAAAGTTGCAGCATGGTGGTATGTCAGAGGCAGAAGGGACAGTAGAGGTCTTCCAGGCCAACATCCCCAAGGAGGACTAGCGAAGGCACACTTCCCCAGCGCTTTAAGCCTTCCAAAGTGTTCTCCCCAAAACTGATGAGATCAGTAATGCCAATCTTCATCTCCCCATTTCAGAGATGAGGAGACTAAGGTAGAAAGCCCACAACTAGTGGCTGACAGTACATACTTCTTACTAAACAACAGACTCTCTCCACTAGGAACCTTGGGTGTTAAGCCTGGGAAAGATAAGAATGGGGGTGGGAAGACAGGCATACCTACACAGTATCTAACCTGGCGAAACAGAAATCAAAAATAACCTGCTTCTTGGAAAAAAAAAAAAAACACGGCATTCAGGAATGGGGACAAAGCTGGAGTGAAACAGGGGGTCAGCTCTTGGGTCTGGCCAGGGAACCCCAGGGGGCCTCAGAGTCATTTTTCGGTGCTAAGGCAGGCAGGCAGAGGACGGTCCCAGAAGCGCCAGCTCCACTGGGGATGGACCTTCCACCTCGGTCCCAGTGAGCTCACTTCTCCTTCGGTCTCCGCATCTCAGCTCTCCCTCTTGGGTCAGTCTGGAAGTCGTCGGTTGGCAAAGCCAATACATCACCTAGGCTCTTACTCCATCAACTTGGTAAGCTCCTCACACTGCCAGTGTTGTTGGCCAGACGAGTGACCCGCGTGAGGTCAGCACTAATACCATGGGCCCATCAGGTCCTGAGGCGCTTTCCCACCAAAGCCCTTCCAAGGACCTGCACTTTAAGAGGACGTTTAGCAGCCTGGGACAGCCAGCCTCAGAGTCAGAGCTCTCCTTGTGGGAAGGGACAACTCCTGTGCTTGCATGACAGAGGCAGGGCAGCTGCTTCCTTGCATAATTGAGACCTGCAAAGACGACCTAGGGCCTGTGTGCCCTGCAGGAGAATGAAGCTCTGGACATTCATGTGCCCTCCAGCCCAAGGTAGGCCATCCAGGGCCATAGCCCCAGCGACAGTGGTTACACCAGCCCTGCCTCTAACCTGCTGCTTTGGCTATAGCGTTCCATGCCAAGTGCCACTGCCCCCCGGGTTCATTCCTCCGGAGTTTGAGGATCACTCCCCCAGGCTGCTTGCTCGCTGGAAGATTTGGTCTCATTTTCCTCTTTTTTTTTTTTGGCTAGGCCATGGGGTTAAGCGACTTGCCCAGGGTCACACAGCTAGTGAGTGTTATGTGCAGCCGGATTTGAACTCAGGTCCTCCTGACTCCAGGGCTGATGCTCTATCCACTGCGCCATCTAGCTGCCCCCTTGGTCTCATTTTCTAAGGCTGACTCACTAGCCTTCAAGTCATCTGCAAACGCTATTGGCACATCAAACAACATGGCATCACGTACTTCCTCATGGTCAGAGCTCTTGTTCAAAGTTCCCAGAGTCCCCGCGCATTCAGCTGCTGCATTTCAGGGCCATGGTGAAGCTGGGGCCAGCATCCCTCTGGACTTCGTGGTTAGTGGAGTCTTTGATCTTATTTATATAGAAGAAACTCCCCATCTTCAGAATTCTGAACCAGCACAGGACCTTCTGCCCTTGGCTGGCTCCCTGAAGAACCAGAGTTGGACAGGCCTGTCCTGGCGAGTCTGCCAGGCAGCACAAGCTGACGTCTTCCAAACAGATGTCATTTCACTGCAGGGTTCTGGAGCTCAAAGCCACTGGGGAACCTCACCGTGAAAGCTAATAAGGACTCCAGACTCTACGGCATACAAAGCCCCATGCAGCTATCGTCCACCCAGGGAGGGGGTGCGACAGGCATTCCCAGACCTATTTTATAAATGAAGACGCTGAAGGGTGGAAAAGTCGAGCAGACCGTCTACGGTCGCTAAGCACTGAAGGCAGGACTGGAACTCGGGTCCATACCGCATCTCTCACAGGAGTCCCTGACACTGAAGGGTGGAAAAGTCGAGCAGACCGTCTACGGTTGCTAAGCACTGAAGGCAGGACTGGAACTCAGGTCCATACCGCATTTCTCACAGGAGTCCCTCTCCTGTTTGGCCTCACCAAGGACATCCTCCGTGACAACCCCAACGCCTTTCTTCTGACAATTCTCTTGTCGATGAAGCTGCCCAGAGAATCGGTGAACAGAGGTCCGTACCACCGGTTACGTACGGCACCTCGTCTGATTGCATGACAGACACAGGACAATCTCATGGTGTTTGTTGATCCACGTTTGATTTTCTTTTTCTGCAGCAACAAACAATCACCCCCATGGGATCTCCCATTCTGTCTCGTGACTGTGAGGGTCCTCGAGGATGGAAGCCTGCCTGGGTCCTTCTCACGACCCGTCCCGAGGTCCTGTGTGCTCCCAAAGGCTATTCTCATGAAGATGTTACTGAGGCGGAGGAAGGAAGCTGCTGCTATCAGCCTCTTTTTTCCTTGTGTTGGTACAAAACTACAGGGATTTCAGTTCTTCTGCATTCCACTCTTGAAGGTCCCTTGGGCATCACTGTGCAGGCTGTCTCCTGACCAGGTGGGGGTGGTCTTCCCGCCTCAGGGCCCCGAGGTGGAAGAGCCCCAAGGGGGTGGTTGCTGATACATCAGTCACTATGGAAACAGACAGAGCTGTCCCACTTTGCACCCTCCATGCTCCTTCTTCCAGTTTAATGGACAAATACTCGCGACTTTCACGGCCTTGTGCCAGACCCTCAACCTGTTAATTTTCCCTTTTACTCTTTTTATGAGACAACGGAACCTGGAAACTTCCATTTTCCTCATCCATCTCGTTTTGAAAACGAGCGTGTCCTCCTGACCCATGCTGTTCTTGGCTGCCATATCTGCGCCTGGGAAGGAGGTCGAGGATTTGAGGGCTAAGGACGCTTCTGGGCTTTCATCCTACCCCAGGGCCCAAGGCGGCCTACCTTCATTTCCCTCCCAGCCTGACTTCTGACTTACCAGACATCAGCGCTAGGCTTGGGCCTCCCTCCAGGACCAGCCTCACTCTGCAGAGGCCCAGAAAGAAGGCTGGGGGGAGAGGCACAGCTAAGTATAAGCACAGGACACCTTGACCAGTAGTACCATCATTCTGACAGATTTCCCCAGGGCAGATACTCACACGACAGTCCTGGTGTTGGGAGGTTTCTGCCCCACGTAGCTGTATGGTACAGTCAGGCCACACAACTGGCATTCAAACATGCCTCTGGGCTCCTGCTCACTGGAAGATGCCATCTACAAAGTCAAGAAAGTCAAGAAATGTATGTTCTGAGGTAAGAAAACTTCTGTTGTTGTTACTGTTGTTGAGTTGTGTCAAACTTTTCACGACCCCGTTTGAGGTTTTCTTCGCAGAGACACTGGAGTGGTTTGCCATTTCCTTCTCATTTTACAGATGACGAAACTGAGGAAAACTAGGTGAAGTGACTTACCCCGGGTCACACAGCTAGGAAGTGTCTGTGGCCACATTTAAACTGAAGTCTTCATGACTCAGGGGCAGTCAGTTGGCGCAGTGGATAGAGCACATGTCCTGGGAAGACTCATGTTCCTGAGTTCAAATCTGGCCTCAGAAACTTACTAGCAGTGTGCCTCTGAGCAAGTCACTTAACCCTGCCTAGAGAAGGAAACGGCAAACTGCTCCAATATCGCTGCCAAGGTCAGTGGAGTGTTCCTGGTGACTAATTGTCTTAACAAGACTATGTTAATATAGATTATCCCCCGCGTCGCCCCCGGGTTCGCTCCCGGGGTACAGTCCCTCTCTCTTACATTCAGGAGCAGACCCGGGGTAATGGGCACGGGCCCGAAAGGCAGCACCGGATTAAGGAAGACTTGTGTTCAAATTCCCCATCCGCCCTCCATCTCCCGCCCCCAGGCTTTGGCACAACGTTCACAGCAGGAGGGAGGCGCGCAGAGGAAGTCAGCACAGGGATACAATGTATCCTACGCCGGGGCTCTAGGGAGCCTCGGAAGGTCTCTAAACGAGGGGGGAAGGGAGGGGGATGGTGTCAGTTTCCACCCTGGGACACGTGCACTGGTCGAGCTGAGCTCACTGAGCAGCCGCCGAAGCTGGCAAGGAAGTGCTTGACGCATGCGCGTGCGCAAGCGCAGCGGGCCCCTTCCCCGCCCCCTACTGTAGCCTGCTTCCCCGGGTTTACACTTACCTGGTCGCTCCGGGCTCCTAGCTCCAGGCCCTCCGGGCCGGATGCCTGAGGTCCTTTCTGGACAGAGCGTGACACCCTGGCCCGGAGGAAGGTCGCCCTGCTGCCACCCTAGGACTCGCCCCGCCCCCAGCGTCCTCTC